TATTATATTTTTCTATTTCTTTATTCTGAAGATCAAACTTATTGTCCTTACAGAAAAAATCTGGAAACATGGCTGCAGACATGACAACAACACCTCCACACACCCTTTTTCTCCTCACTGCTAATATTTGATAACTTGACCCACAGCACCAGATGAAGTGAAAAGTTTGGAAGAGGAAACACTGGTGGTGGAGTACAAAGCCTATCACAGACGTGGAATTCTGAAAAATTTTTCAATGTGTACACTAAAATATGTAGTATGTTTCACAAGAACTTTCTTATCAGTCTGCATGAAAGCACTTCTACAGCTGTGAAGAACTATCCTTCTTTTCCATTAAAGATCTCATATGCATTAAAGAATCTTTCTCTAAATTCACTTTGCTCCTCCCTTTAAACCAAAAAAGAGCTCATTTCCTTCCCCGACTTCAGTATACCCACTCTTCAAGAATACCAGATACTTTAAAGATGTTTCAACATAAAAATTGTGATCCAAGCCAGACCCTTCCAAGTTGTGAAAATAAGTCCAAAGCAACTGGTGCCCTTCACAAATGAAAGCATCAAAGACTTACATAAAAACAGATTCTTTTCCTCCCAGACACACAACAGTCTGATGAATGATGAAAAAATCATCTTATCCGGGCTCTATTCACATGGATCTATTATCTAATTCCCAGGCAATACCATCTCCCTAGCAAATTCACTGAGGTAAACAGTCACAGGTCACCTGAACACCAGTTTTTTGAGTTCTATAAGCATCTTTTCTAACTCATATTGAACACTAGCATGCCATTAAATGAGGCAGACAGACAACAAGGACACATTACACAGTATTACTTAGCTTTTATTGCATATGACGACAATACTACATGGAAAATGGTCAGCTTATAGAAAACAACAGACAAAGGAAGCTGAGCCTTAAAACTCAGCTCATGTTCTTAGACGCAACAATTGTGCCCAGTTTTACTAAAAGAAGGCAATGACAAGCTGCAGTTATCACTATTGCCTCAATCTGAAATGAGAAAGAATGAGTTACCAAACTGCTCAGGGTAAGAAGGCAGAAACAAAGCAAGGATACAGAGGCTAGATGTCTGGGTTGACAAAAGTCAGTAAGTTTAATATAAAGAAGTGAAATCACCACAGAGTTGGGAAAAAAGGTGGTAACATAAAGAGCTCGGTGAGATCAAAGACAAACCCACTCCAAGGAGAAACAAAGGCTGACATCCCTTCTCTGGACTGATGATTGCAGGTACAGCAGAGATCCAGTAGATGACTGCACTTGGCATTATGATCATATTCATACTTAGTCAGACAGCAAGCTGGTCCCAGCCCTCTTGTGTTTATTACCAACAAGTCAAATAAATTTGGGACACTGAAAGTCTGCACACACAATAAAAGACATGCAACTAAAAGTTGGTCCAAAGATATGGGAGTTACAAGAGGTGTTTTGAGAAACTTGTGACCTTGAGTGAAGGCATTCACACATGCAGCTAGTTCAGTTTCTAGCTTAGAAATCTTCCTCTGTTTGTTTGGTATTATATAAATGAGCAGCTTTCCATAGCTTCTGGTCACTAAGTAACTGTCTTCTCTCCTGATACGTGATGATCTGGCCTTGGTTATAAACACAGTATTTACCTCAGGTAAGGACTACAATAAAGCAGTGTATTCAGTACAGAAGTCATCAGCTTCTACGAAAGTTTAACCCACATCCCAGTGTAATTTAATGGGATACTATGAAACCTGTCTTCTGCTCTCACTGCTCACAGGAGCACTGAGCCAGTTTCAGTCTTTTCCACGGCAGTGAATGCCTGCATTCACCTAAAAAGACCAAAGCTAATGCTAATAGAAGACTAGCTAAAAGACTGCCTAACGCTTTAAATGCAGACTCTTATCAAACTTTCCATTCTTGTGGCACTAGCAGGACGTCTAGAAGAGTGGGCTCTTCATGGGACCAGTTCAGGACTGGGGATTAAGCTCTCACAAGAGCTAAGGATGGCCACTACCTCTACCAACCGCTGCTTCCATATTTACTGCACTACCTCAGATTCCTGGTATGGAAATGATAGGCTGCTTTAGCAGGAGGCACTCGATCTTCTCTTTTTGTAGCAGTGCCTCCCTGACTGTTTTCTCCAGCTATCCTACTTGCTCCAGACTGGCCCCTTATTGCACCTCCAACAAGGGAAATCCCAGCAGGAAGGAAGGCAACAGACATGAGCATGCCTGAGAGGGGGGGGGGGAGGTTGAGAGAGAGAGCGATTGAGAGAGTGCGAGAGCACGAGAGCGAGAGATATTGAGACAGAGGGAGATTGAGAGAGAGCGAGAGCGCAGTGCCTTTTCAAAGCTCGGTGTATCTCTGCTGTCATGGCTCATGGCTCAGAGGAATGGGGGATGAAGGCTGGCTGAGGCAAAGAAAGCAAGAATGGAAATGTTTCTTTCTTATCTATTTTCATGTTCTTATAAATGGAGCTAATGTGCTCAATTAGTGAGAAGCAAGGCATTCTGCAGAATGCATAGACAGCTACAAAACTTATGAGCCATGATTAGAAAAACTTGTCAAACTAGTTAAATCATTTTTCCCTTCTTTCTCTGCTCTACTTCTTCCCATTTCCCTCTTTCTGACATGGCCATTAAAGAACTCAGCCATAAACAAACCCAGTAAGACCACAGAAGAGATAAGAGAGAAATATGGAATATCTTTTCACAATTAATTAAAAAATCAGCTTAATCCAAACCTGGCATACCTTTCAGGCTTTCTACCTCCATTTTAAAAGCTTAACTGGATACTTTTAAGCTCTTCAATAAGAAGCCAAAGACAAAAGTTAGTTCTATTAAAATCTTGGCCACCTTTGCTGGCTTCTTAATTAAAACTAGAAATGATCTCCAGGTTTTACTTTAACCTTCAGGAGATATCACAACAGTGAAAATTATATTTATGATACCTTGTGTTAGATTTAAGAGCCCACCACTCACAGAAAATTGTGGTGTTCTGTGGTCTGCCAGTCCATATAACCAATAGTAGCTATATACAAGAAAATAGTCATAATGGAGTCCACAGATATTGGATCACCTGATCACTATTTGCAAAACTGACTTCAAAGCTCTGCTTATCATGAAAAGTTATGAGAGTTTGACCACCATCTCATTTTCCTGGTTTCAAAGAAGTGCTAGAGTTCAAAATAAGACACTGCACCACTTTGCCTGTTTCCCTGTACAGCATCACTGAGCTCGGTATTTGTTTGTCTTGCTTGATACAAAAATGGCAAGGGAGGGCTAAATATCCTCCCCCTTGGGATGGGTGGGAGAGAGGCATAAAGCAAATAAGTAGAAAGGATTAAAAGGGAAACAGAAAAGAGGGCAAAGATAGGAAACACCCTCCAAGAATATAAAAACCCCTGGAAAGCATGCGGGTAGAAAAAAGGAAAAAAAGAAAAAAAAAAGGAGAAATAATCAAATATCAGGAAAAGTTGATGAGCATCTGGAAATAAGAGGAAACAGAGAAGAAAATACTCTACTAATCATTGCTAACTCACTAGTGAAGAGACAAAAACTTATGACCCTAAAATGAACAAACCAGATTATTTCTTACCTTTATAGATACGGCCAAGTCCTCTGTAGTCCATTTGGTCTGAACAATTGAAAACAACAACATACTTTCCCAGGCATTTGCCCATGTCTTTAGTTGTCTCTGTTTTCCCTGTCCCTGCAGGTCCTGCTGGTGCACCCCCCATACTCATGCCCAGGGCCTGTGCCAGAGTGATGTAACACCTAGAGACAGAACAAGGAGTTCTATTAATATTTTTCTAGTATTAATTACTTGAAGTCCATTAATATAACCACAGCAGTTGTATTATACAGAGCTGGGGAAGGGGGCAGAAATGGCTGTGCTTCCCCGTGGTAAGCCCTCAGTCACTCCCTTAGCACACTGTGAAGCTGAGTTACCAGGTACCACTTTTGCCACACCTGCAGAAAAGCATGTGATGACTGCAACAGCCCAGGAAAAGCACAAGTCAATTCTAAATGCTGAATACCAAAATACTGTAGCATTGTGATTTTCTCACAATAATCATATGCCCTCCCTCCAAGACTCAGCCTTATGCTGTAGCACCCAGACCTGCTGGGTTTCTGCCTTCTTTCCCATCTTCATACTCTCTCCAGAGAGCACACAAAAGTGGGCTCTCTGATCTGACAACAGGAAGGCACAGAGGCTGGAAGCAGTTCCTGTTCTTGCCATTTCCCTGCCAGCAGGCCAAACCACAGCAATGCTGCCAGACACTTTAGGTCTTCAAGTTCCAGGAGGAGAATGGACAAGAGGGAAGATTGTAATGGGCAGTGAAGAAAGAAGAGGAGGGACCCATGAATCCTAGGATCATCTTCTGCTTCAGCCTCCATCCTGCGTTGATGTCCCCAGGTTTAAGTCTCACCTCCCAGTATGGTGTGGAGACTACTGAAGGGTGTAGGAAGACTGCTGTTCTAACCTACAGTGCTCCAAAATCCCAGTAAGCCTGTGAAACTCAATAGCTTTATGATATAACTGGGGAGAGAAAATGGGCACTGAAAAAACCCCAAATTATACCAGCTAGTATCACTTCCTATAAAATAATACAGTACTCATTCTAATATAATAGCAGTAATAATGCTTTATCACCTTATTACTCAGTAATCAGTTAACAGGCACTCAATTAACACAGAAAAAATACCACTCCTAACAATTCTGCTACTGAAAATGAGATAAGGACAAACTGTACACATAGTACAAGTTCTAAATAGAACTTGCATTTCATTTTTTGTATCTGCCATGATGTGGTCTGTGTCTGACGTGATGTTTAGGAGCATTCAATTTCAGTCCCATTATCTTAATGTAATGTACTATCGCCAGTGTGTATTTATCATGCGCTTCAGGAATCTCTCTGAACACGAAATCATTAGCCAAACAGCACTTGACTCCAAGCAGATAAATGGAAAGCAAAGATATCATTACCTGAAAACTGTCAGAAGCTCATATAAGTCCATATAGCAATATTAAAAATATTAAAATGGAAAAAGCCTATAAGGGGAATAAAATCTGTTCTTATGCAACACTGCTTACGTACGTAAGTTTCCCACACCAACACTAGAAAACATCTCCGCTTCAAATAATCTTTCAATGACAGTGGATAGCCACCAATCCCTGCAGCTCTGTTTGGCTCTTCTAGGTTTGCCCAAAGACAGATACTTCTGTTCCTTTATGTTATTATTATAGTTTAAACTAATTCAAAAGACTCATTTTCTTCAATAACATCACATTATTGAATAACTAACTAATAACTGTCTAACTAATGCGCTGGTTTTCAATCTCATGTAACATAGCACCTTGAATCAATCCCTAATCAATTAGGTTGCATTTTCATTCTGAGAACAAATTTTGAATGACAGCATTTTCTTGATACTGTGGGCAAAAATAGCCTGCGTGGTAGTGCTGCCATACCCACTAATCAACTGCATGTTTACTGCTGCAAAGAGTCTCTCTCTAGTATAGGAATAGTAGGGTACATAACACAGAACTTGGCAGATGTGTGTTACATATTAAAAGCCAGGTATTCAAGCATAGGGTTTTGGCTCCCTTAAATAGCTCACTGGGCATAATTTTGGTTCAGAAATTGGCAAAAGTCGGAAATTGCACTAGTAAGTAAAATCTAGTAGCACAGAGAGAGCAAAGAGAATTCCAACATTAATTCAACGGCCTGCAGTCATTCTTCACACAGCAAATGACTGAACATGCACAGTATTTTGACATTCCTATCCACACTTAAAAGAACAAGCTCAGGCATAGCAAATACATCTCCCTCTTGCCTAGCTGAAGCACCACCAAGTACTTTAGGAAAATATGCATCTAATGGAGTGTGTACTGTGCTGTATAACTAATGCTCCAGCAATAAAAAGTTCTTCTTATGTTTTTCCCTCACAGCTTTTTCTGTGCTTGTATTCCTGTAATTCTCCACAGGCCTTGCTTAAAATCATATTGGCACTAATTATTCACCGCTATGTCCTGAGTTACTGCTTTTTCCTCTAGGGTGACTTCAAATGAATCACTTGCCATAATCCCAAATTCTCATGCAACTACTAGCTTACTGAAAGCAGCAATATACTGTCTTTTAGATCCACTCTGTTTAGGCTGGTGACATGTATGACATTCAGCTGTATTTACCTTGAGCACAAGTAAGTTTTTCAATGCCTACCACAGCACATATAGCTCAAGCAAACACTCAAAGCGAATTCAAGGCCCCTCCTAGGGGTGCCTGCTTTCACTAGCTGTATAAGCACTGGCCTCTGCTGTTCACCATCGATATTGCAGCACTACAGTGCAACCAAAGAAAGAATTCTGACTCATGAAACTTAAAGGAATTAAGTCAAAGGAATTAAGTCTTAGCTCCAGTACTACACACTGCATTCTTTTTATAACTACCTGTCAGTTAAGGGAGTTATAACAAGCCTGTCTGTACACCCTAAGTATTCATTGCAGTAGGTGAACTCTACATCAGTGATTTGGATAATGCATTTATCCAAGTCTTCAAGAAAATAAAATCGAGACTGTTTTTGCCACTCAAAATCAGATGGAGATTTAATGTTCATACGGACCTATAATGGAAAAGAGAAATCATTAATACAGAAAAGAACAGTACAACAAATTCATCCTAAATTCCATACAGAAAAAAAAAAGTCTACTATGCATAAATGCGAGAGCTGGAAGAACAAGCACAGAATCTGCCAGGAGTCAAGACATCCAGAATTATCTTTTCAAACCTGTACTTTTTGACCACTTTGATTTTCCTCTGAATTGTGTACAGAGATCATGAATTGTGTTTTACAGAGACGTTGAAGAACAGTGATGGAAAACTTCATAAAAAACTAAGTAACAATACTGGTTACACTGCACGGTATCTCGTGCCATTACCCGCAGAAATACTAAACCTTGGACAATGCTTGAATATACTGTATACATGTCTATGTGCTTGTTTACTTGGGATGTATTTTTCAGTATGAACTTGCCACACACATATTTAGATTTGTGGCAGATTAATAGATCTTCATTCATTATTTTTGACACTTGATCTCAAAACCACCAGCCTCTTACGGAATATATAGTCCAGGTTATGGGCCTTGCAGACATAGCATAAGGTGAAGAGGAGGTTCTGGATTGTCAGCCACTTCCCTCTACTTTCTCTCAATCACAAAAGGATGTGTTTAGCAGGGGATAGAACGTTTTGAGAGAAAAGGATAATATTACATGTACCAATTAATCCTTTCCCCAGTTTTGGACTTGCCCCCCCGCCTTTATTTCACATACAGACCCTTTAAATCTAACCAATTTTCTGTGATTTAATTTTATTATAATATGACATTAAATTAGTTGATAATGAAATGTCCAATTAAGAAAATAATTATGAAAATAAATTAAAAATTACAGGAAGAGGATAAAACCCCATGCCTATCTTAGAAGCTGGCAGTTTTCTTTCTATCTTCCAGTATTTTTCTTTATGATTTTCTATCTTCCTTTACACATGCACTTAATTTTTATCTTTCTGACATATACACATAAATTAAACAATGCAGTATTGAATTATTGACCTTTGCATCATGCAAGCTTTTCAAAACTTATTTTACTTCCATTTTTATAATTATGGTTTCATGTATTTGACATACTTACTTAAAGGAAGTCTGATGCAACTTTATTATAAAAAAACCTTAATATGTCTGTTCTGGTTATTTTTGCTACCCTTTTCAAATATATGGAGCCTCACTGCTTTAACCTTTGAATAACTATTACCTTAAATCAACACATAGCCTGGGCTGGAAATCACATGATTGATAGCAATACTAAAGAGACCTTTTTTCCTTTTACATTTCAATTAAACAATGCATTAAATTTTCAGTTTGAGAGAACAGTTTAATTTAAACAGTTAAACTCTTTGCTCACAGTGAATTTGTGTATGATGGATATCAACAACCATTTTAAAAAGTGAAGTCTGAACTTATGAACATACCTATATATAATTCACCCTTATCTCTGCATGACATCTATATGAAATCAAACTAAATCTGATATGCCATATCACAGCACTAATGTCAGAGCTACTCAAAGAGAACAGATTGTAAGATTTGTTTATAATTTTTTATATGTCCAAAAACTTCCATACAGAAAGTCCCTTAAAGGTTTTCAAAAACTTACCAAATCATCAAAGATATCCTTCTGGTGCACATGAATGGTGATTAAAGTTTCATATTTTGTGCGCTCCATTCTTGTCAGATTGTGTGTTGTCATGTCAATCAAATCATTTAAAAGTCCCAAAAACTTCTGATTTGTTGTGTGCATTACCTTTTCCACATAGCAAGAACAGCCATATTAATACAACTGTCATTTCTTCTTCCAATGTTTAGAATAAAACATAAAAAAAATCTGCAAACGTATCGGCCCATGACATCTGTGATCTGCTTTGTATTTATTAGGCTTGGAATCCTAAATTTGGATTTGCAGGCTGCCCTCCATGCATGCATTCTTAGCCCAACAGAGTACCATAGGGTTATATCCAGGTGAACAGGTCACATCATAAGATTTTGTTCCAAGATGGTTGCTCCTTCTACTATACATTACATCTGCAACTGATTGCATCCCTGCTTATTTTCAAAACCATCGGTCTCTGGTTTTGGGTATTGCACATCAGCGCAAGCAGTATTTACTTCTTAGGGGGAACAGGAACCGGGAGATCTATCACATCCTCTAACCAGAGGAGGGGGAAAATGTAATGTCATTTTAGATGCCAATGCTAAAATAACAATTTCTTTTGTGGCACCAGATTCTGTTACAAAATTCCACAAAATACAATACTGACTATATAATATTGACTTAGGTAAACAGCATCAGCCTCTGTCAGTGATGTTCCTGGTACACAGCAAATTATAAAGCACTGAGGTTTCAGAAAGGGCCGCTCATATATACTCCTGTTCCAAACGCATGAGAGAACAATCACACTAGCTTTCTGTAAATATATGCAAAGCCTAAAACTCACACCGTTTGCTGAGAAAAGAATGCTAAAAGCACTGTAAAACTAAGGGAGAACTAAACAACCTGCCTGCCCCCCAAACACACACGCACACACAGTTTATTCTAAGTAAACAAAAGTTGTTTTCTAGTTGATGCAGAAGAATCTTTGTGTCTAGTTAGTGTATGAACTGGAATGGACTAAAAGCAGGTCTATACCCTTTTTAAACTTTGTACAATGCAGAAAATGTAGCATTAAGTGGTCTTCTCCATAGTCTAGAGTCTTCATTTTCATTCACTATGAAAGTACAGCATGGTACCATTCCCCTGCATTTACTTCTGTGGTGGGATGATGTTACTAGTTCTTAGTCCAATCTCACTGTATATTCATTCATTCATTCATATCATACCATTCATACAAATGGTAATTTGTAACTCTTTAGTTCACATCATCTCCTTTCTCCTTCATAGATCCAGTGTTAGAAATAAAACCTTGGTGTTAACAGGATCTTCTCTACATGTTTGAGATAAAACCAGCACCTCCTCAAATGGCTTCTATTTCCCTTCCCCAAAAAAAGAGCTGATTGACTGAAGAATTAAATACACTCTGTTACAGTAGACCAATGCCCATGAAGCACAGTTATTTCCCCAAATTTGGGGAGCTCTGATTTCTTTTGAAATCTGATTTTGGGAAAGTAATAGGATAAGATTCCCTACATTCCCAAACTGAGAAATTGTCCCTTCCCAAGATGACTGCGCTGACAAAACAACAGAGAAAATCACAGGATTAGGAACAATTCCAAAGCACATGCTGGGGTATGGTGAGGAGGTGTGACCTCTTAACATATTTTTTATCATGCTGTTTTCCTGTTAGTTTATTTGTTATTCCAGTTACTTAACTAGTATTTTGTGCTTTTTCCTACATGTTATTTCTAACATCACAATATGCACTGTTCCAAACAATGCTTTTAATTAATCCCCAAAGATTCATTAAATACTACCTTTTTGTCTGTTTTGGTACTGTTCAGTGCATTCTCTGCATCTCTGGTCCAGATCATTTGAATTCCCAGAAGTCCTATTTGTGCAGGAAACATTGCCTGAAAGTCATACAGCTTAAATCCTGAATCGCTAATGGCCACTGATGCTTGTCTAATGATGGTGTGGATTGTTTTCCTAATCCCATTCAGCAGCTGACCTAACCAGAATTCCACACTGCCCTGAAATAAACAAGAAAGTACTTTTAAAGAATTAGTTTATGAATAATTCACAAGAAGAAAAAGCCCTACGTGACTTTTTTTCCAGTCCTTCGTACTCCCATTTCCCTCTTTGTTATTCTCTAATCTTTAAAAGATTCTTCTCCTCCTTCTGCTCCACTGCCCTTCTAGAGATATGTGATGGATTTGGCACTTCACATCAGTAATGCTGAAAAAACAGGTAAAATAATTGTTACAGAATGACACAAATGTCCCGTCCTTTCTGGCCTTTGCTCTCGCTGTTCACATTGGAAGGTTTTCATCCAGCTAGTCAAATAATAGCATGATGTGATACTGTTGGTCTCTACAACATAAATCTACTTTAAATCAAGTCATGAAAAACTGTAATATATAATTCTATTACCTGAGCTAAAACTGGTTCAATAATATTGACCTGTTCTCCTTCTTGAGATTCAAACAATAATATCTGGTCGTAGTTTTTTTCATGAAATCCCACTCGGTTAACATTGTCAAACAAACTTAATAAATGAGCCTAAAACAGAATCAGAAAAAAAAAGCTCCATAAACTGATCTGATATGGCATTCTTACTTTGCTTTAAGTCCTGTATTAGAAGATTCTATAAATCTTTCCATAAGTGAAAGAAACTCTCTCAACTAAATAACAAAATCCTCCATGGTCCTCACTTACTAATATTGACCATAAGAACAGTATTGCCTTACAACTTGTACCTGAATAGTGTGGGAATCAGATGCTTGACCAAGGATTTCCAGAAGAGCAGGGTCAGATACAAAAAAAAATCTTGGAAATATTAACCGTTTTTTTTCCAAATACCCAGTCAGTGACTTCTGACAGATTTCCAATTGTTCCAGCAAATGTGGTAATAGCTGTGCCAAAGTCTCATCTCCAACACAGCACTGCACAATGTTTGATGTTTCATGGGCTCTCTGCATAATTCTCTGCCATGATTTATCAATGTTCTGAAATCTTCTGGCTTCCTGGAGTACACAAAAAATGCATTAGCTCTTCCTCATGTTTGTCAGATTCTAAAAATTAAAGAATTTCATGAGACAAGGTAACAGTTCGATATTTCCCCTTCTGTTCAAGTCTTCTTTGCAGGACTAATGTATGAATATTTATAGGCATGCTTATAATGATCAGTGCTTATAATGACCAGAGTTCAAATTGCAAGAGAAAGTGTCCAATGCAACAGCTCTGGAAATGTCTTTAACTTCATGTTGAGCACCAAAATTGTCCATATAAAAGGATTCCAACACACACCAGAAAACTCAAACAGCAGCCTTCTCAGAAATGACAGTCTTCCTAAAAGCAATACACAATATCATGCAATGGCTGCTCCATACAGGTTACGAGGAGTAAGTCATTAGTAGTAATACTTGACAAACTAAAACAGTATAGTCTGAAACTGCCACACTCGTAAAGCATTGTAGGTGAAAGGACACAAATTCTCAAATACTGGGAGCTGGAGAATAAATATCTTTCTACACTGGGTATACTAACTTTAATAACTCTTTCTTCACCTACAATGAATGAAATGTTAATGGGATCATAAATTATCTGAGAACCAGGAGAGATCTCAAGAGACCACCCAAAGCCATTTGCCTGTCACAAGACAGGATCATACCCATGCCCACTCTTGAAAAACATCTGTCTTGTGTTTAAAGGTGCTCAATGGTGGAGATTCAAAAGCCTCTCCAGGCAATCTTTGCTACTGGTGACTCTGTTTTAATATCTAAGCTTACTCTCTGTTGTGTGTACACCAATTACTTCTCATCTTACTCACAGATATGGAGAACACACTGTTTTCTTCCTGTTGAGAGCAACCCTTATTTTTTTTGAAAACTTATCACATATTCTCCTCAGTTTTTCCTCTCCTTCAAGCCAAAGAGGCCTAGTTTGTTGAATCTTTTCTTGTGCGTCATCCTTCATGGATAGCTCCTCATTCTTATCATCCTCTTCTATGCTCTCTCAAATTTGTCTATGTGTTTCTTTAGCCAAAACCACGCACAATATTCTAGTTATTGGTTATTGATGTTTATGCTTTCCACTTCTCTGCCTGCATTTTACACACCAGCAATCTAAAACTCATTTTCTGATAGTACTATGAGAGACAATATCAAAAGCTTATCAAGATGTATAGCAACTACTGTTTTTCCTCTATTCACAAAGCTTGTTGCCCACCCTAAAAATAAATTAGATTTGTTTGACAGGTTTTGCTCCTAACAAATCTACACTGACACTCATCTCCTTGTTAACTTCCAGATGCTTACAGACAGTTATTTGTTGCAGTATTCATCCAGGAACTGCAATTAAGCCCATTCATCTATCATTACTCCTCCACCAAGCTGTTCCTTCTCCTCCTTCTTTAAACATAGTCACCGCATTTGCTTTTTTCATGGTTCATGTATCATCCTTGTAAGAAGTAGCTTTAGCAGTTATCGAATGCCTCAGCTGTGCTGCAGAATTTGTTCATCTACAAAAACTGCTTATTGATTCTCTGATAAGCATTAACAATATAAACATATCTCGTGAAATAAAAAAAAAGAATTGTTATCTTAAACAACAGTTAAGAAAGCTTTACTTCACTTAAAAAACTAATGTTAGTTTTGGAAATTGTAAGCCTTTCATTATAAAAGATGTAGCCTGAAGTAGAATCATAGAATCTTTTAGGTTGGAAAAGACCCTTAAGATCATCCAGTCCAACCATTAACCTAACACTACCATGTCCACCACTAAAACAATTAAGGGTAGAGTAATAATTTCATGTTTCCTGGCTTGGTGGCTGGATTATTTTTTATTCTCTGGACACACTCCAGCAACTCAATGTCTTTCTTGCAGTGAGCGGCCCAAAACTAGACACAGTATTCCAGGTGCAGCCTCACCAGTGCCGAGTACAGGGGGATGATCACTTCCCTGCTCCTGCTGGCCACACTATTCCTGATACAAGCCAGGATGCTGTTGGCCTTCTTGGCCACCTGGGCACACTGCTGGCTGGCTGTTGACCAACACCCCCAGGTCCTTTTCAGCCAGGCAGCTTTCCAGCCACTCTTCCCCAAGCCTGTAGTGTTGCATGGGGTTGTTGTGACCAAAGTGCAGGACCCGCCACTTGGCCTTGTTGAACCTCATACAATTGGCCTCATATTTAATAATTTCCCAATAATCATGGTTTTGTTAAGTTACAGCACTGGTTGATCCAGTGCTACTAAACTGTGGTGTGTCAGAACTACATGAAAGCCTCTCATTAGGAGACACAACAGAGAGGATGACTTATTCTCGTATTTCTCTCCTGCAGGAAGTCAGATCATTCCTTAATTCTTTTGCAGCTGCTATCATGGAAGGTCATTAATTGCCGTTTGAAGAGGTTGCCATAGTTCACGCAGATTAGCACACATGCAGCTGCCCAAGCCTTGCAGCATCTCTCTGTGGGACTTCATTATACTGAGTCCTAGCGAGTACAGAATTCACACAGAAAATCTGTTGTTCTATTATTACCTAACTTAGAGCCTATAGACATATATAGACAGGAAGAAAGGAATGTTTGCACATATGGCAAAAGTGATACATCAGTTTTGTACCATTAAGTAGTCCTGAGCCCTGTGCTATCATATGATTCACTAATATTGCAAGCTGACAGGAACACCTGAGCCTGAATTACAAGCAATCCTGTTCCTGTAGGCTTGGCCAAGTTCTAAGCAGTTCAACCAGACAGACCGCAGTTTGGCAAAGCTTCTTCTGAACTGCCTATGCGCAGCCCACAAAACTTATACGCGTTATATGCATTGGCAAGTAAATTCTGTGATGTGGCTAGTCTCTTGGTACAACATATTGCCATAACATATTGTTATCATAAATCAACACACCTGAGGTAGTTGTTTTGCAATGTCTCCACCAACAAACACAGCTTCAAGGTAAATCCAGAGGTTTTGTACAGTAATCCAGTTTTCAATTATCTCTGCAGTATTGGTCAACTTCTGAACCCACTGTTGTATAGTGGACTTAAACGGTGCATTATACCTGTATGAACACGAGTTAAAGGGAAAAAGAACCTAAGATGATCATTGTTTACTTTGAGTAGATTTACACAATATGTGCATTTATTAAGTTTTGTACCTGTTGCTCATGAGCGACCCCAGTATCATAAGGCTGTCTTCCACCAAAGCTATTTTCTCTGATATATCTGATCCTTTTAGAAGGAGTTCTCCACGAGTTTTGAATTGGCCAAAGCTGAAAGCATGAGTACTCCATTCACTGATGACATATTTCAATTTTGCTTCAATATCCTTTTCTTTAACAGCACCGATGCAGATATCCTGTGTAAAATTAAACTAGTGAATTACATTCCTCTAAGGCTAATATAATGCACACTCACAAAGACAATTAAAATTCATTGCCTAGATCCAGTCTTCAGTGTAAATTCTAGCTAATGAAGATAGACATTGAAACACCTCAAAATTATTATATTACAAACTAGGTTATATTGTAGTACTACTTCTAACTGGAACATTTTATGGGCTATACTCCGTCTTCACTAGCGCTAGCATCTTACACTTTTGAAAATTCACTGACTCAGTGAATCTGCAGGCAGAATTTGCCTCTTTGAAGTTAAATATACCTACTGAGGGGTTTATGGAAAAGACACTACCAATCAAAACCAATAAACTGTCCAAGAATAGAGCATATGTGGACAACATGACTGCCTGCTACTTCTTAAAGACAGTGAGGACAGGACTGTCGTAAAATTGGTTATTGCATCAGAGATAAAAGGAGCAGCTACTCAGATTGAACTAAATTCAGGTTCGGAAGTATATTGGATTTCATCACAGGTTAAAAGTCTCTCCTTGAGTGTAAGACTATCACTCTGAACCTTTCACATGGCTTATTTTTGGAATTTGGGTACCCAATGTCTGGAAATTGGGTACAGCAGAGTTTGATTTCATGTTTTCGTCTTAGAAGTTCCTTTGTGGAACAAGACAAATCAGGTTACTACCATGAAGGGACCACAGATTTAGCTAAGTGACAACAGAACTGAAGTTAGAAACTGTTGGGGTTTTCCTTCTTTATTTTTAGCTATACTTTGTTCTTGCAACAAGTAATGAGCATAAAGCTAATGTCATTGCTATATAACTACTGTCCCCAAAATGGAGGAGGATTGTACACATTACATAAGCCTTCTCACTGCTCTGTGCTCTTGTGAAGTCACTTTTGAAATACAAAAGAACCTTGTTCTCCTTTAATCCTATATCCTCCACTTCTACTGTGTTCCAAAGATTTTGAGCACTTAACAGGATCAGACTTACATCAACTGTTTGTTCTCTCTGATGAGACATGTAAATGGAAGAAAAACTTGTAAGTAGGCAGACCCTAAACCAGAAGCATGACAGAATCAAACTACTCTTAAAACAACAGAATTCCTTCTATGGGAAGGATTAGTGTAATACCATGTATCCATTTAATCCTTCTCCAGAACAAAAATGAAATAAACTAACCATCACTGCTAATACCAGCTACCAAACTCCATTCTTCAAAAGAATTCTCCAACTAAAGACAAATTTCTTAATGTTCCAAAGCTGACTAGAAACAGGATTCCAGAAGCACAGAGCCCCAGGTCACAGTTAACCATTAAAAAAAAAAAAAAAAAAGTACATGTACCTCAATATCTTCTTTATATTTTAATAAAGAGGCATCCATTATGTTTTTCAAAGCGAAATTTTCAGAGTCAACATCAAAGTGATGCCCAGTTACTTGTGCAATTCTTTCCCAGTGTCGTGACATCATTGCCTAGCAAAGTCCATAGGAATTAGGGAAGATTTTTAAAAATTGTGTTATTTTTAGGACTAGAATGATCACATACTTTTGCACTGCATCTGTTAAACAAATAGAAGAGTCTTGATTTCCATTCCATTGAAAGCATTAATAGTTCTTCTAAACACATTATGAAGTCTTTTGTTTTACTTTTCTTTAACTAACCCTAACAATTTTTGACATAAATATAGCTGCTTTTATCTATAAAAAATAATTATGGAAAGCATCTTATAGTCATACAACGCAGTCTTCAATAGAGTTTTTCAAGTGAATCTTATCTCCAAATTATTATGCTGAACATACTTTGTTTGCCATCATTTCAAGCAAAGGACAGCTCTCTGTGAAGTCATCAATTTTTTTTTTTAGGTCTTGAAAAGCTTGCCATTCCTTCAATGCTTTCGGTAACTTACGGATTCTTTAAAAAGCACAAAAAAGAAGACATATTTTATTCTTCATAATCACAATCCACCATTTAATAGCACAATATATTCTCATTTTTCAAACAGTGGACTAGTAGATAAAAATCCAGCTGCAAGCTGGCAACATAATACATAGCTGATTGTTTCTGACTGCAGGCATAAAACACTTCTAGAGACAGTAAAAATCACACTAGAATGTGTGATTTGGTTTCTATTTCAGTTTGAATTAAAGGAGGTCAATTTCATATGCAAACTCAAGTCTGAACTCAAGCTTTTGCAGTGTTATTGTTTTATCAAAAATTTGAAAATGCACCTTATTTTGTAAAGGGAAAAAAGGATTAAACAACATATATTTTTTCAAGCAAAATAAAGTACATCCTAAATGAAAACTGACCTGCTTGCAAACAGAAAAATACTTCTGTTTCAATCAAGTCCTATTTTATACCTAGTCTGTACAAAAGATATTTAAAGAAAAATCTTCCTTTATGCACAATTTCAAGATGAAAAAAAAAAAGAAAATTAAGAACCTCTTGTACTGTGAATTGTCACAGCTCCACTTGCTTCTAACAAGTCATGCCAATTTTCATCTGCCAAAGCTATGGACCAAAGACTGACAGCAGTTCTCTTACAGCTCAATGGCAGAAACGAAAAGCTGCATAAAACCAACCCATAATGAAAAATTCCTTCAAAGAAATTCTCCATTTTTCACAGCTCAAAATCAGACAGATCTGTCATACAACGCTGGAGCATGTGTGAATTCCTCACTGCTTGCTGGTAAGAGGTAGATGAACATATGCATACTGTCATGGCACTGCAATAATCTCTGTAGTCTTTCATCTTGAATCCAGCAATAGATAGTATTAAATATGCTAGAGAAAAACATTGCAGAATGGAAAATTATACCTGCCATGTCTGGATAACACTTTAAGAGGCAGTTCCTGGCTACTTCTATGCTGAGGCATGACAAGTAACATTCTTACAAACTTTGTCTTAGGCTGGCAATTGGAAATGGGATCTCTCAGCTTGGTAATGAAAACTGCTAATTTTTTTTATACAGATACACCTTTTTACTTTGTCTTGGCCTCAGTAATATCTTCTAACAGCAAGTTCCATAAGTTCCATACTATGTTAAAAAGCTACTCCATTGATCAGGTTTAAATTTCCTTCTTAAATTTACTGGACATTCTCTTTATACTATATTACAGTAAAACATAAAGGGAAACTTTTCTCTAGCTGTTGTTAGAAACTTCTATAATCATATGCTCTCTACCACATGCGTTTTCTCTAAATAGTTATCCTTTTAATCTCTTTCTAAATGGATTTATTTTCACCTACAGTTACTTTTGTGATTCTTGTCATGATTCTAGGTTTTCTATTCTATTAGTATTTTTAAAAGGGTTAGCAAAAAAGAACATTAAAGAACTATGCATATCTTTACAATTACGCTAGAACACTAATTACATTTCCAGTATTCCTGCTCCTTTCGTAACATAGCATACCATCTTAGTTCTATGGGTACCCCCTGTGCATTGTTTACATATCTCCAGCTTTAAAGAGAACAGCTTGATGCAATAATGCTAGCAAGCCTGCCAAAGAAAGTACTGGGTTATGCTTCTACAGAAAAATATTTACTGCCTATTGGAGGTCACCTTGCTCCAAATATAGTTCAACACTTGAGAAGAAAAAAAAGTCACACATGAAATAAAAAGAGAAGCACATAACTTTCAAAACTGTTGTCTTGCAATGGCTTCCTTCAGAGTTCCATGAGAAGGAAGCATGAAGAGAGTCCTACCAAACTGTAAAATATAATTAACTATACAAAAAATGATGCTGCAGATTCCAGAATTCTACTGAAATGATATCGACTTACAGATATTGTCCAAATGCAGAAGTATATATATATTTCGCATACATTCTTTTTTATTATTATTATTTTTAAAATATGAGGGTTTTTTCCAAATCAATGACTAGAAGACCGTACACTCAGTTTTTTCCAGAAAAAGAAAAAATCTCCACCCCGCTCCTTCAGTGTGCACAGAAATGGACCCTGCTAAAATGGTGACATGCTCAAAATACCATATGACTAAAAAGCCTGAGCACGAGTAACTTTTCTTATGCATTTCAAAGATTTAGGATGAGATGAAAAACACAGATTTGATCTCAATCTCTTGAATAATACCAAAATGTAAGTGAAGTCTCTCTTGGGACACTTTGAAGAATCCAGAATCAAAATCTGATCAGAACTACTAGTGAAGCATAGAGACACACACACTGGCTGTTCCAGAAGAGAGTCTCTGCAGAAGAGAAAGCTCTTTATATTGAGTATGAACTTGTCTTGACAAAACTCACTGAGAAAGTGATAAGAGCCACTGTGTAAAGAGGTGAAGAAAATGCTTATATAAAAATAATAACAGAAGAAAGAAAACAGAGAGACAGTTCACTCTTTTTTCCAATAGATATGCACAGGATAAAAATATTGCACATTTATTTTCCAACATTTGCATGTATATTCGGTAATTCCCATTAAGAGTAAAACATAGACTGGTTCAGACAACTAATCTGAAGGAATGGATGCACAGAATACTTAAGACCTGCATATAGACTCTCCACTTTTGCATGTAACAAAATTCCCCTTTTCTAGCAATTCTGTCCATAATCCAGTGCCAAGAATCCGGATTCAAAGAAAGCTGGCAAAGGGGAAACAATCCAAACCCTGCCTCTGAGAGAAGTAACAAGCTGGGTCAGGGAAGTCTTGTAGACCCAGCCATGGCTACTGAAAAACCAAAGGTGCATCTTTACCAACACAGTAGAAAAATTCCTCTGATTTCAGCAAAGCATGGTTTCACCTAACAGCTATTTTGCATGTAATGCAGAAAACATTATTCCTCTCAAACCTCATGAATAACCCCTCAGAATTTAGTGTGGCTACCTACCCTTGTTGAAATAACAATTGCAATCCACACAAATGTGCAGAAGTAGAGAGCACATATCAAAATTCTGTTTAACAACACAAACTAACAATTAATCAGCTGTAAACTAAATCACTGAGCAGGTAATATATGAAGGTCAGCTATGGAGGTTATTTATATTTACAACCACCTTGCCACAGGTTTATGCACCTTATTCATTCCATAAGCTACAACCTACCATGTCAGTATACCCCAACAAGCCTAAAGTGACTCGCAGACCGAGCTAAGTAAGATCACACACTAGCTGCACATTGCACCACGGTCTGCAACTAATGCAGCTGTGCTGAGTGCTTGAGCAAGCCTGAGCTTGAAACAAATCAACAGATTTTTGCCCCTCAGGGCAATTTTCACAAGATAATTAACACAGAAGGCTGAGAAATAAAAACTGTATGCACTTCAATGAATAACAACTTACCTGTTTTGAAAATCCAGAAGTTCATTGTTAATTTTTTCAATATTTAAATCATTCCAAAGCATTTCATTGTATCCATCGATACTAGCAGTAACTGAATTATAAAGACTGTAAAGTTTCTGAAGCAATGAAAGCTCACGTTTAATTTTGTGCAGTTCAGGGTACTCTGTTTCAAATTTTAAAAGAAAAAATTTATGAATGTTAATTAGGTACAACTGTATTCATGAACATAAAAATCCATGTATTTCTAAAATTGGTATTTAATAAATGTCTGAAATCAGACTTGCAGTCTTTTAGATAGTGTCTAGTAAGACAAACTTTTCCACTTACATTATGTAAGAACATCAGATTTTGATGCACAGTAATTGTTTATATTGCTGAGTTTTTTATAAATATTCTTCTATAACAGTACATGTAATCTTATAAGGGAGGTGCTGCATCTATCTCTGTGAGGAGGATAATGTTGAAAGAGTAGTTAAAGTTGCAAAGGAATGCACTATAGTTTTATATAAGAACTAAAATATCCCCCATCTCAATTTGCGTTATTTACTTCAGAGGCAGAGGTTGGGGAAGGAGGGTGTGCTTTCAAAATAAAAATACAGAATATGTTACACAACAAAAGTATTTAAAATGGACCTCCTTAACAGAAATGTTTTGTTTAGTTTCTCTCATATCTTTGGGAATTCCTACTTAAATATATCGTAATTATTGCATATGTCTTCAGACAGGAAAATATACTGAATTTAGTAGGTGCAAATTAAAGTGCTTATCATACATTCTGCTGTAACTTTAATTCACACCATGGTCTTCCAGACTTGAAGTATGTCTGACTAGGAGATATAAGGATATTACAGCCCAAGGGAATTCATTATATATCTGGAGCGAGGACAACTTGAGTACTTCAGCAACGTTTCCCAAATTTGGACATGGAAGAATACAGACAGGAGATGCGCTTAGCTCTGAACGGAAAAAGCAAGAGAGCTAAGCAGCTGGACCCTGAGATACATGGAACAGTGCAATATTTTTCCACCTGATGTTTATGTATGTGCACACTGAGAGCCAGTTTCACACAGCTGCTTTTCACAGGAAAGACAATAATAATTTACTACAAGGAATTTTTCTACAAAGAATTCAGCACTGAATGCATTTAGCAGGACCCACATGAAAAATTTAATAGCCTAGGACCAGGTATCCATATCACCTGAAAAACTACCTGTGATAGGAAGACCAAATAATTCTTCCCCACCAGAAAGAGAGATATACTTCCTCCATAGTTCATCAAATTTGGCTTGAAAGATCTGTAATCTGTCACTTGCTTCACGGGGAGGAACATTCTCCTCACCGGGGCCCCTGTAAAAAGCAAAACAAATTCAGTGCAAGTATCAACCATACAGGCCTCGCAAAGAAGCACAACAGAACCCACACCTTACTTACTGAACAGTATTTAGTATTTTCTAACATTTTTTCTATAAATTTTCACAAAAGACACTAAAAGAGAAAATGCAAAGTATATTCAGTGTCCCAGCATTACATATTGAGTAGTCCCTGAAAGCCCAATTTATTTTCCAATAATAAAATTCATCTGGGTTACCATACATATTACAAACAGCTAAAAAGATCTACAAATGTTTTGTCTTTGTTATTTTCCATTTCTTTTCTTCTGTAAAATACATTTTAATGATTATTTTCATGTATATTCTTAAAAAGGGAAAGACAGCAGGCATATAATTCAGGAGTGAATTATAGTGTGGTAGCTGGTACTAGAACCACAATTAAGCACCCAGAAAAACAACAGAAAAAAATATGATTTTGCCCTAATGTGTACATCTCAGCTGGAGGACTGGGTGTAATCTCCAGCTCTCATGCCTGGGACCACTTCTTGGCTGCATCATAATATTTTGGGATGAGAACTGTAAGTATGACATCTTCTGTTGTGCCATGGTTATTTCTAGCAAGAAATACAGGCACATGGGTATCAGAGAGCAGTGCAGGCTGGCTGCCTGGCAAGGAACATGGAGTAACATGGTCAGCAGAGGCAGCCAGGGCCTGGTCCCACAGCACCTGAGCAAGGAGAGCAGGGCAGGCCTGGGGATGGTAGTCAGGTTCAGATGAGAGTCCAGATCTCTAGACAAGTCCACAATAATTACACAGGACCAAGGTCAAGGAGGGAAGGTGAGTCGGCAAGTCAGGGTCAGGAGCAGGTCTAGTGAAGGTAACCAGGATGAGACAGTCCAGTGGTTACCAGGCTGTTCTGAGATCAGGCTGAGAAGTGACTCTGTGCTTTGGGATCCATGTTCAGCTCAGTAGAATCCATGGCCAGGCACAGGCATGGCTGTGACAGAGCTGGAGCTGTAGGTCAGGGGGCCAAGCGGTGAAGTCTCAGCTTAAAAGCAAATCTCACAGGAAGAAGTGTCAGCCTTCCTGAGGCCTCCCAGCAGAGCCGCATGGGAGTGCTCTGTCACCAAAGGAAGGGGGAAGCCCTCGGGTGCCCTAGCTTTAAGTTGGCCCTGAGCCCAGGCAGCTGAACCTCCAGGAGAGGGGATGCTCTCAGGGTCCCTACAATTGGTGGCAGCCACAGGGTATTTCCATTAATTCCTCTGGACAACTCCGAGAGCAGAACTGACTGCAGGCAGCACTATGCATGCATCCACACTGGCAACTTCATGCTCTAGCAGGTTGCTTTTAGGTGCAAATCCACCTTGTGTCTATAGCTGGACTCTTGAAGCTTGCACTCAAATGCACTGCCAGTGTGCCTTCAAGAAGTTTCACTCCTGGTGAAGCCGAGGTTGAAGGCAAACACCCAGTTACCATTTGGACCACCCTGCTTGTAACACCAATGCACCAATGCAAAAGCAACTGCCCTAGGAGAAGAGTATATATTCTCCAAGGCCCTCCAGGAGTGTGTGCTCTATGTGTGCACTGAATTCTATTCATAACAGCTGTACATAAAGCTGCTTCACACTGCCCGTGCAGTGCATGCCCAGGGTCAGCAGCTGACGTGAACTTCATTGCCAAAAACCCCACACTGTCCAAGTATTGTCCTGGAACCATAACAGATCACAGGAAAACAAATTCTGGTCTTTTCCCCTTCATTGTTAATGTAGAAGCATCCAATAAAGCACACATACCCCACAACTTAAATTAAAAAATGCCAAAGTAAGCTTAGAAGTAAGACTGAGTAAGACTCAGTGAACTTAAAAACACCCAGAACTGGAATCTCATCGAAGGAACTTCTTATATACTTAGTATTAAATATCTGCTTAAGTACTTTGTTGAGTTTAGAACCCCAAAAAAACTTCAAATTTGGATCTGGATTGAGAATTTGATTTTTTTTCCCAACTATTAACTCTTCTGGGACTTCATTGACTCCAGCATTAAAATTATGGGAATGAATATGTAACAGTAAGAGTATCTGCCCATCTTATATTATTCTGACATCAAGCTTTTTTATCAGCCGTCATATATACATTGAGGCTGTGCTGTCTATTTTCTGAAGCCCTTTCAATACACAATTTTTGAACAATCACTAATGAAGCATAATTGTATTGCACTACAGGTCACCCACTTTTCATCATAATCTTTGTAAAATTCTGCAGTATCAGTCTTGAATTTTTGAACACCACTCAGTAAATCTGTTTTCATGTCTGGCTGTACCTTCAGCAGCAAGTCCTCAACCTGCAGTGCCTACATGCAGACAAACAGGAAAAACAGGCATAAGAGAGGCAGGAAAAAAAGCACAGAGTTTTAAGTAAGAAAATAGTTTTGTTCTAGCATTTCAACATTAAAAAGGCTGACAATAACTTTGCAATATATACAATTTGAGAAATAATACAGCTATGATACCTGTGTGTTTAGGTTCTTCCAGGCATAAGCCAATCCATCAACTCTTTCTGTATTTCCATCTTGAAAGAGCAGATTGTATTTATGAAGCACAGAATAAGATTCTTCTATAGGTCCAACTGTCATGTCAATTTTAATCTCATTCTCTCGAATTTCCTTTAGTACTTCCATTGCTCCCCGTACATCGTCAAGGTCATGGATAGGTCTGCTTAATCTCTTGCTAACACTTTCAATGAATGAATAAATTTCATCCATGTCTGTGGCAGACTTTTTATTCAAAGCTAATCCAAATGTTCTTTGTCTTGAGCGGCATTCCTGAATTAAGGCTATTTTCAACGACTCGGTCGCAATATCCACTGATTCCAGCACACAGTGATTTGGCAGTTCTCTGATTTGCATTTCTAATTGCTAAGACAAACACAAGTGTTCAGCTTTTAACTTCACTACAATTTCTCTGAACAGTTCATTTTTATTAAAGATATAATACTTACAGAAAAGTATCTGATTTGAGTTTGGAATTCAGCCATTGTTGGTTTAGTATCTATAAATTCCCTCACTTTTTCCTCTGGATCCTATATAAAATAAATTTATTTTATTTATTATTTAGCATTGGTATTACAATAACCTATGGTGGACCCAGCTGCCTGATCTACTGTGCAAACACAAATGATCCCTCTCTAAAAGGCCTTAAGATATAAGCACTAAGATCAAATTATTTCACTTGAACTGCTTTTCCTGACTCTTACTCTTTGTACAGTACTCTTTAAGGCACTTGAAATCTATCTGTAACTCAAAAACTGACACAGGCCAGGATATCCCTTATCCATCCAAATATTACTACAAAATTTATAATGTAGCTGCTAAAACTTTGCTGGAAATACTTCCTTCCCAGTCTCCCTGCTGTCTGTGAGCCCCCAAAAGCAGGCCACATCCTTTAACAGGTATTTAAATAGGAGTGATTTTACTCAGCCACCTTCACTCTTCCTGAAACACTGCATTTAATTGCAGTTTCTGGCTACAAATGGACTGGCCATTTGGAGCAAGCACAGTTTGGCAGGGAAGGATGGTTCTAAGGGAAGAGGGGTCATTTAGCTTGTTGAAGCTTGTTTAAAGGGAACAGAGTACTGAGCATCCTTCATTTTCATAAGGTAGGCCAGTCTCTGCAGAGGTGAGAACTTCAGTGTCACCAGCTCAATAAATGTGTTAGATTCTTGGTTAAGTTACAGACAAATGATCTTTACCCGGCTCAATGACGTTTATCTACAGTCTGCACTGTGAGGTCCCTGAGAAGCTGTTACAGCTTCTCTGGCCAATAATGAGTTACCAGTGACAGTTCCCAGTGGTCATACAGAAATTATAAAGATGGGGGGGAAACAGTGCCAAATCCTAAGGAATTTTAAGGTTAAGGAACAGTTAATTGACTATTTTAGAAGATTGCAGTAAGAAGGAAACATTATCATGCTACTGCATCATCCAATCTGATTGTGCTTTGTCTGGGTGAAGTGACGTACCATCAATATGTGGTTAGCTCAAACAGTATCTCCAAAAACGGAGGTAACTAAGCATTAAGATTTGGAACCCCAGAAGCCATGAAGAGGTGAAAATTCCCTGTCTTAGCCTGAACTCTAACTGCAAAAGAGTTAGCTGTGGGAATGTGGTCACCCAGGAGTTGGTTTAGGAAGGGAAAGTTAAAAATAGTGAGCAGTTACAAAGACAAGATTATTCCTGTTTTGATTGCTTGTTTCTCAGCCTGACTAAAGCACCTTTGATAGGTAAGACCAGTAGTTGTCCAACCACACAGAGTTGAATTTCACTAGTCAGAATGTACACAAGGTTTTACTTCATGAAATAGCTCCTGCCAAAACACTCCTCAGAGCTTTACTGTTTATGTGACTGGACCAACTTCCTAACGAAGACAACTCCATCAGCCCAGATTCTCTTCTGCTTTGGAATCCTTATTAATGGAAATATTTCCTAGATTTAGTTTATCATTTTTGTGAACAAATATAAAAGCTGCTTTCAGCAGTGGTTGCTGAAGAACTAGTCAGTTTAATATACAGGAACAGTTTTGTAGTCTGCAATTTCTCAGATTCTGCTAAATTATTCTTTTTTATAACCTATGCAGACAAGATGCTGTGAGAATGATGCATAAGCATATGAGAGCATAAGCTTGTTTATGCTCCCAACATACTTTTTTGTTCTTCTGCTTTCTTCCTTAGATGGTTTAATTGGTAAAGAATGACAAGTTCTGGTCAACACAAGAGGAGACAAAGGAGGTACTGTTGGTATATGGATTCTACTATGAAACCAATGCTTTCTACTGACCACAGTCTCCTTATGCACCCCAAACCAGTTTATGTAGAAGATTTTGCAATACAGCAATATATTTTATTAAATATGTATTTAACCTTGTTCCAGATGCCTGAAAATTCAGAAAAGCTGTTCAGAAGATCCGATGCTTCAGTTTTGAGAGATAAAATAATTGTATTTAGTTGCATCACCACTTTGTTTACATCCTTATGCTCGATGATCTGTTTGTCTAAAGGTTTCAGTGCCATCATCCTGGTGAGTTTGCTCTCATCACCTAGCTCTACAGCAACAGCTTGTTCAATCTGGCATAAATTAAACAAGAAAAAAATATATGTCCAGTAGTTTATTTTTCATTATGATCTATTTGCCCGACTTGAATTTTTTTTTTTCATTGAAATGAGCTGATCTGTTTTTCATGTCAGATTGACAAAATAGGAAGATACTTTTACAAAGACATTTGTCAGCACAGATCTACGTAGATATGTATTTCATTACCAGAGGAGAGAATTAAGGCCGTCTGATTACCATTACTGCACATTTCTGTACTTCAGCAAATTTTAGTTTCTGTCTCTACCTCAGACCACCCCAAGGTTTTATTGCTCATTTTAATGCCAGTTAAAATATTTATATTGTATTTACTGTAGCATTATAGGTGCTGTATGCAGCCTGAAAGTTTAACTTAAAATACAGTTTTTGCCTGAGAAGACTGATAATAATTTATACTCAGCTAGTAGTACCCATGGATAATGTTAGTTTTCACACATTACCTACACTATCATCATCATACTTGAGTAGTATATTTAAAAGATTTTTTTAAAGCAAATTTTGATTTTATTATTAGAAACCACCAAACATAAGGTTTATGAATTATTACTCCTATGTTCAATTACTTGGTATAGAGACTAAAAACTAGGCTTTCACTTAACGGGAAAATCCACTAGCTTACAAGTCAAAGTATTGGTACAGAACATAGAATCATAGAATCATATTCTTATGAGATTAAGAAACGTTAACCAAAATACTAACTTTTTAAAATAATCAAAATAAAATACTCACCTGCTGCTGTTTATGATGTAAGTAAGCAAATTTCCACAGGGGGATATCTTTGGCTATTGATAATATGATATTTACTACCTTGTTTACAGCACTCTGAAAACAACAAAACATTCACCTTGGGCACACAGAGAGATTATGACAAATAAGGGAGGGGCGGGGGGACAGTGGGGAGGGATCTTCCAAACAAAACCAAAATGGGAAAAATATACTTCTATTTACAGGAAATATTCTAATAAGCATGAAGTAGGATCACCCAAAATACAT